TATTTCATTTTAAGAAATTGAGACCACATTGCCAAATCAGATCTGCAATTCTTAATATGTACATGGTGTGACAATTTTTTAACAGTAGTTGAAAGCTTAATCAAGTGAGACACAAATGATCTGCCTGGTAAAATAACTCTACTTGCAAAATTTAAGTGGCCTAGCAGACTTAAAAGTTTCCTTTTAGTACATGTATTGCGTTTAGAAAAAGATTCAATAGTTATTTGAATTCTTGCAATTTTCTCTTTAGGCAAACGTGCCTCCATCTTTATAGTATCAAGAAAAATGCCCAAATATTCTAAAATGACACAAGGACCTTCAGTTTTCTTTGTTGACAAAGGAATACCCAAAAATGAAAACATTTTTAACACATTGCTCCTAGTTAGATGAGCATTATCTGCTCTTGGTACAATAATTAAAAAATCATCTAACAAATGTAAAATATTTACAATACCATAGTTATTTCTAGCTATCCAGCAAACTGCCCTGGATAGTGTATAAAAAAATTTGGGACTTGATCTACACCCAAACACTAATCTCTTAAAAAAAATAAAACTTTTTGTTCCACTGTAAACCATGATAAGGCCATTATTCTGATTTAAGTGGGATAATTTTGAACACATCGCAAATATCTGTTTTTAGAAGCCAACTTTTTCTACCTAACTGCTTAATAATATGAGTAGCATAATCAATAGAAACATACTGCAAAGAAAATTCTTCCTTATCTATCAGTTCATTTAGACTTGGATTGTCCTCATCCTCATGTAGTGCTGAAAGATCAATAATTAAGCGCTTTTTATGCCCCCGCGGTAGCGGTGGGGGCATTAAATTTTACCCTTGTCCGTCTGCACGTACGTACGGTACGTACGTCCCAAAATTGGTTTCCGTTCCCTGACTTGAGTTTGCCTCAACCAAATGTTATGAAACTTATACACAATGCTTATTACCACAAAACACAGATCAAGTTTGAATTTTGGTGGCGTCACTTTAACCGTTCTAGAGTTATGCCCTTTATAAATGGAAAAATTGCAAAATTTTTTGTTTCTGTTCTCTTACTTAAGTTTGCCTCAACCAAATGTTAAGAAACTTATACACAATGCTTATTACCACAAAACACAGATCAAGTTTGAATTTTGGTGGCTTCACTTTAACCGTTCTAGAGTTATACCCCTTTATAAATGGAAAAATTGCAAAATTTTTAGTTTCCGTTCTCTAACTTAAGTTTGCCTCAACCAAATGTTATGAAACTTATACACAATGCTTATTACCACAAAAAACAGATCAAGTTTGAATTTTAGTGGCGTCACTTTAACCGTTCTAGAGTTATGCCCCTTTATAAATGGAAAAATTGCAATTTTTTTATTTTCTTCTGAATATCAAGTAATTTTTAAAATTGGAGTTATCTTCCTTTGTCCATGATTATAGTTGAATCAACTACAATCAATGCTTTATACAATGTAATGTTTAATTTTGACTTCCACTGATCAAACACAGATCAAGTTGAATGTGGGTAGTGTCACTTTAACCATTATTGAGTTATGCCCCTATATAAATCGAAAGTTTGCAAAATTTTTTGTTTCCATTCTGTAACTTAAGTTTGCCCCAACCAAACATTATGAAACCTATACACAATATTCATTTCAACAAAACTAAGATCAAGTACAAATATTTTGTTTTTCTAACTTTAGTTTGCCTCAACCAAATGTTATGAAACTTATACACAATGCTTATTACTACATAATACAGGTTAAGTACGAAATTTGGTAGACAGCCTTGAAACAATGTTTATTTAAGTTCTATTGTTTGTCTCTACAAATGCATCTTGGGATGCCGCAATTCCTAATAAGGTGTCGTGCACGTGGTCGTTGATGGTGGTGTCTGTGGCAGTGGAATTCTGGGATCGCGCTCTACCTAATATGGTGTCAGCGTGGTCCTCTGCGTTTCTCCCCGCATCAGAATTAACATTTTCTCCAGACTCGCAAAAGCCTGACCAATGCCATCCTCCTCGAATTTTGAGGAATTCTAATCCCTCTTGCGTTTAGTTCGTGTCTTAATCTGATTAAAGTCCAGTTTTCAGGCATTTCCGGATCGTAATGCATGTGTGTCCTTGTCCCCGATCTACGAATTGGTCCCATGATGACGAATCACAGAGGTTTAAAATTAAAGCAGAATACAAATATAATCCAATTTAGAATCGTCTTGATGATAAATTGAAAGTTACTAACTCTGGAGAAAACGATGCACTATCATGAGTATGAAGCACAAACTAAAAAAAAAAGTACCTTTGTGGCTAGCAATAAATAGACTTAAATGGGAATTTAATGTATTAAATTGGAGTTTATACATTTTTGTTCATGTCCTCATTTGTGGATCAAGTTTGAATTTTGGTGGTATCACTTTTACCGTTCTAGAGTTGTGCCTGTTTACAAATGGAAAAATTGCTGAATTTTTCGTTTCTGTTCTCTAACTTAAGTTAGCGTCAACCAAATGTTATGAGACTTATACATAATACTTATTACCACAAAACTCAGATCTAGTACAAATTTGGGTAGCGTCATTTTTACCGTTTTCAGTTTTGTCCCTTTATAACCTTATATGATATGCAAGCAGGGGCATCATCTGTGTCCCATGGACACATTCCCCATTTATTTTAGTTATTGCCCTTGTAACTTGGATAGATAAAATATGTGCAATGCGGGGGACATTGGAATATGTTCTTTTATTTTTAGTCCCCTACCAACGAAGTCGAAGGGGGCTTTAGGTTTGCACTCCGTCCGTCTGTCTGTCTGTCAGTCTGTCCGTCTGTCTGTCTGTCAGTCTGTCCGTCTGTCTGTCTGTCTGTCCGTCTGTCAGTACAGCAAATCAGTTTTCCAGACTTTTTTTTTTGTGCTTGAAGATATTGATTTGATATTTGGTTTATTGATTTATCATGACAAGTTACAGGTCAAGTTCAATTTTCACGATTTTAGCTTTTCTCTTTGTTTAGTTAAAGCCCTTTCCCTAGAATTAAATTTTTGATGAAATACTTATTAATTTGTAGATTTCTGTTCAAAGGGAAATAACTCATTTTTTAAAAGACTTTCAGAAGACAAAATGACATTTTGGATCTTTATCCTTTTCTTTGGTAAATTGTTTGAAGAATTTAGTAGTAGGTTTGTTTGTCATTCTTGAAGATATTGATTTACGAATTGGTCCCATGATGACGAATCACAGAGGTTTAAAATTAAAGCAGAATACAAATATAATCCAATTTAGAATCGTCTTGATGATAAATTGAAAGTTACTAACTCTGGAGAAAACGATGCACTATCATGAGTATGAAGCACAAACTAAAAAAAAAAAGTACCTTTGTGGCTTATTCTGAATTGTTTAAAAACGTAAATCCGAATTACTGGAAACGAAACACATATACTTAGTGAAAAGTAAAATCACAAAAATACTGAACTCCGAGGAAAATTCAAAAAGGAAAGTCCCTAATCAAATGGCAAAATCAAAAGCTCAAACACATCAAACGAATGGATAACAACTGTCATATTCCTGACTTGGTAGTGAACGAATGTCAGTTTAAAATAAACATATGAATACTGTATATATATAACTCCAAATAGCAAATAGAATAGAATATTCAAATTAAATCTCAGAGAAACAAAATATGGCTGCTGAAACTGCTACAAGCTTTATAAAATGACCACCTATCCCTTCAATATCTATAATGTGATTGGTCAAATCCTTATTTTATCTATGTAGACAAAAATAACTTATCAAAGGTCTTGCTAATATTAAACACATGATGGGACAGGGTAAAAGATGATGAGGACATGAACAAAAATGTATAAACTCCAATTTAATACATTAAATTCCCATTTAAGTCTATTTATTGCTATTTAATTGTGACACAAGGTGTTTTACCATAGAATAAAGTTTGGGATTGATTTTAGGGGATATGACCCTATTGGTTTAGTTAAAAGGGGCCAAAACCAATACTTTGTATAAATTGCTTTTTTTTTATGCCCCCGCTGTAGTGGAGGGGGCCTTAAGTTTTACCCTTGTCCGTCTGTCCGTACGTACAAATGTACGAACTTCCCAAAGTTGGTTTCCGTTCTCTAACTTTAGTTTGCCTCAACCAAATGTTATGAAACTTATACACAATGCTTATTACCACAAAACACAGATCAAGTTTGAATTTTTGTAGCGTCACTTTAACCGTTCTAGAGTTATGCCCCTTTACAAATGGAAAAATTACTGAAATTTTCGTTTCCATTCTCCATCTTTAGTTTGCCTCAACCAAATGTTATGAAACTTATACACAATGCTTATTACCACATAATACAGATCAAGTTCGTTATTAGGTAGGGTCACTTTTACAGTTCTTGAGTTATGCCCAATTATAAACATAAAAATGGCTGAATTTTTATCGTTTCCATTCTGTAACTTTAGTTTGCCTCAACCAAATGTTATGAAACTTATACACAATGCTTATTACCACATAATACAGATCAAAAGTTTGAAATTGGGTGGCATCACTTTTACCTTTCTTTAGTTATGCCCCTTTATAAACATAAAAATTGCTGAATGTTTCGTTTCCGTTCTCTAACTTTAGTTTGCCTCAACCAAATGTTATGAAACTTATACACAATGCTTATTACCACAAAACACAGATCAAGTTTGAATTTTTGTAGCGTCACTTTAACCGTTCTAGAGTTATGCCCCTTTACAAATGGAAAAATTACTGAAATTTTCGTTTCCATTCTCCATCTTTAGTTTGCCTCAACCAAATGTTATGAAACTTATACACAATGCTTATTACCACATAATACAGATCAAGTTCGTTATTAGGTAGGGTCACTTTTACAGTTCTTGAGTTATGCCCAATTATAAACATAAAAATGGCTGAATTTTTATCGTTTCCATTCTGTAACTTTAGTTTGCCTCAACCAAATGTTATGAAACTTATACACAATGCTTATTACCACATAATACAAATCAAAAGTTTGAAATTGGGTGGCATCACTTTTACCTTTCTTTAGTTATGCCCCTTTATAAACATAAAAATTGCTGAATGTTTCGTTTCCGTTCTCTTACTTTAGTTTGCCTCAACCAAATGTTAAGAAACTTATACACAATGCTTATTACCACAAAATACAGATCAAGTTTGAATTTTGGTGGTATCACTTTTACCGTTCTAGAGTTGTGCCTGTTTACAAATGGAAAAATTGCTGAATTTTTCGTTTCTGTTCTCTAACTTAAGTTAGCGTCAACCAAATGTTATGAGACTTATACATAATACTTATTACCACAAAACTCAGATCTAGTACAAATTTGGGTAGCGTCATTTTTACCGTTTTCAGTTTTGTCCCTTTATAACCTTATATGATATGCAAGCAGGGGCATCATCTGTGTCCCATGGACACATTCCCCATTTATTTTAGTTATTGCCCTTGTAACTTGGATAGATAAAATATGTGCAATGCGGGGGACATTGGAATATGTTCTTTTATTTTTAGTCCCCTACCAACGAAGTCGAAGGGGGCTTTAGGTTTGCACTCCGTCCGTCTGTCTGTCTGTCAGTCTGTCCGTCTGTCTGTCTGTCTGTCCGTCTGTCAGTACGGCAAATCAGTTTTCCAGACTTTTTTTTTTGTGCTTGAAGATATTGATTTGATATTTGGTTTATTGATTTATCATGACAAGTTACAGGTCAAGTTCAATTTTCACGATTTTAGCTTTTCTCTTTGTTTAGTTAAAGCCCTTTCCCTAGAATTAAATTTTTGATGAAATACTTATTAATTTGTAGATTTCTGTTCAAAGGGAAATAACTCATTTTTTAAAAGACTTTCAGAAGACAAAATGACATTTTGGATCTTTATCCTTTTCTTTGGTAAATTGTTTGAAGAATTTAGTAGTAGGTTTGTTTGTCATTCTTGAAGATATTGATTTGATAATTAGTATATAGTTTTATCATAACAAGTTACAGATCAAGTTGGAATTTTGTTCCAGTCGGATAATTTTGTGCAGAGTTATGGTTTTTTTCGTAATGCTTGAAGATTTTGACTTGATATTTTTATGTAGTTTACACCATAACAAGTTATAGATCAAGTTAGAATTTCGTTCCATTTCAATGAATTTGTAACTGGTAGGGGACTATGAATTGCCATGCAATACTCACAGAATGCTTGTTTTTATATTGGTATGACGTTGGCGTCGTCGTCGTCCGAAAACACATTGGTTTTCGCACTCTAACTTTAGTTTAAGTGAATGGATCTCTATGAAATTTTACCATAAGGTTCAATACTACAAAAGGAAGGTTGGGATTGATTTTGGGGGTTATGGTACCAACAGTTAAGGAATTAGGGGCCAAAAAGGGGCCAAAAATAAGCATTTTTGTAACTTCCAGACATAACTTGTGTGTTAGTGTATGGATCTCTCTGACATTGTACCACAAGGTTCCATATCACACAGGGAATGTTGGGATTGATTTTGGGGGTAATTGCCTAAAAATATTAGGAATTAGGGGCCAAAAAAGGGGCAAAAAACAAGCATTTTTCTAGTTTCATGACAATAACTTGTGTGTAAGTGTATGGATCATTCTGAAATTGTACTACAAGGTTCCATATCACAAAGGGAAAGCTGGAATTGAGTTTGGGGGTAATTGCCCAAAACGTTTAGGAATAAGGGGCCAAAAATAAGCATTTTTCTAGTTTCCAGACAATAACTTGTGTTAAAGTGTATGGATCTCTCTGAAATTGTACTGGAAGGTACCATACCACAAAAGGAAGGCTGGGATTGAGTTTGGGGGTGATGAATCATAAGGGGGTTCAAAAAATTTTGGGGGGGGATTTTTTTTTTTTTTCCTTTTTTTTTCTTTTAAAATTTTCCGTTTTAAGTTGGTTATTTCTGTTTTATATTTAATAGCAAATAATAATGATATGATAGGAGATACACACCAAACAGGATGTTTAAATTATTATATTATAAGTATTGTGCAATAGCAAGAAATTTTCAATTGCACAGTATTGCACAATAGCAAGAAATCTTCAATTGCACAGTATTGAGCAATAGCAAGAAATCTTCAATTGCACAGTATTGTGCAATAGCAAGAAATATCCAATAGCACAATATTGCGCAATAGCAAGAAATTGTCAATTGTACAGTATTGCGCAATAGCAAGAAATATTCAATTGCACAGTATTGTGCTAAAGAAGATACTTCGTATAAATTGCTTATTTCTTGACCAATTTCAATGGGGTTTTATTCTTGAATTCTTGGGGTTCTTTAATATGCTGATTCTAACCGTGTATTAAGTTTTTATACGACCGCAAAAAAATTTTTGTGGTCGTATATTGGTATAACGTTGGCGTCGTCGTTGTCGTTGTCGTCGTCGTCTGGCGTCATCCTGCGTCGTCCGAAGACACATTGGTTTTCGCACTCTAACTTTAGTTTAAGTGAATGGATCTCTATGAAATTTTTCACAAGGTTCAATACCACAAAAGGAAGGTTGGGATTGATTTTGGGGGTTATGGTACCAACAGTAAAGGAATTAGGGGCCAAAAGTGGCCAAAAATAAGCATTTTTGTAACTTCCAGACATAACTTGTGTGTTAGTGTATGGATCTCTCTGACATTGTACCACAAGGTTCAATATCACAAAAGGAATGCTGGGATTGATTTTGGGGGTAATTGCCTCAAAATTTTAGAAAAAAGGGGCAAAAAACAAGCATTTTTCTAGTTTCAGGACAATAACTTGTGTGTAAGTGTATGGATCTTTCTGAAATTGTACTACAAGGTTCCATATCACAAAGAGAAGGATGGGATTGAGTTTGGGGGTGATGAATCATAAGGGGGTTCAAAATATTTATGGGGGGGGGATTTTTTTTTTTCCTTTTTTTTCTTTTTTTCCTTTTTTTTTTCTTTTAAAATTTTCCATTTTAAGTTGGTTATTTCTGATTTATATTTAAAAGCAAATAATAATGATATGGTAGGAGATACACACTAAACAGGATGTGTAAGTTTTTATATAATAAGTATTGTGCAATAGCAAGAAATTTTCAATTGCACAGTATTGCACAATAGCAAGAAATCTTCAATTGCACAGTATTGTGCAATAGCAAGAAATCTTCAATTGCACAGTATTGTGCAATAGCAAGAAATATCCAATAGCACAATATTGCGCAATAGCAAGAAATTGTCAATTGTACAGTATTGCGCAATAGCAAGAAATATTCAATTGCACAGTATTGTGCAAAAGAAGATACTTCCTATAAGTTGCTTATTTCTTGACCAATTTCAATGGGGTTTTATTCTTGAATTCTTGGGGTTCTTTAATATGCTGAATCTAACTGTGTATTAAGTTTTTGGATTTTGGGCCCCGTTTTTAAATTGGTCCACATTGAGGTCCATAGGGTCCAAAATTCAACTTTGTTTGATTTCATCAAAAATTGAATTATTTGGGTTCTTTGATATGCCGAATCTAACCGTGTATTTAGATTCTTAATTTTTGGTTCCGTTTTCAAATTGGTCTGCATTAAGGTCCAAAGGGTCCAAAATTAAACTTAGTTTGATTTTAACAAAAATTGAATTCTTAGGGTTCTTTGATATGCTGAATCTAAACATGTATTTAGATTTTTGATTATGGGCCCAGTTTTCAAGTTGGTCCAAATTGGGGTCCAAAATTAAACTTTGTTTGATTTCAACAAAAATTGAATATATGGGGTTCTTTGATATGCTGAATCTAACCATGTATTTAGATTTTTGATTTTTGGGCCCCGTTATCAACTTTGTCCACATTGAGGTCAAAAGGGTCCAAAATTAAACTTTGTTTGATTTCATCAAAAATTGAATTCTTGGGGGTTCTTTGATATGCTGAATCTTACCGATTTTTTAGATTCTTAATTTTTGGTTCCGTTTTCAAATTGGTCTACATTAAGGTCCAAAGGGTCCAAAATTAAACTTAGTTTGATTTTAACAAAAATTGAATTCTTAGGGTTCTTTGATATGCTGAATCTAAACATGTATTTAGATTTTTGATTATGGGCCCAGTTTTCAAGTTGGTCCAAAATTAAACTTTGTTTGATTTCAACAAAAATTGAATATATGTGGTTCTTAGATATGCTGAATCTAACCATGTATTTAGTTTTTTTATTTTTGGGCCCCATTATCAACTTTATCCACATTGAGGTCAAAAGGGTCCAAAATTAAACTTTGTTTGATTTCATCAAAAATTGAATTCTTGGGGTTCTTTGATATGCTGAATCTAACCATGTATTTAGATTTTGGATATTGGACCATAATAGGTGAATGTCCAATTCAAAATTTTTAAGTTCTTAGACCACATTCATTCTGTGTCAGAAACCTATGCTGTGTCAAATATTTAATCACAATCCAAATTCAGAGCTGTATCAAGCTTGAATGTTGTGTCCATACTTGCCCCAACTGTTCAGGGTTCGACCTCTGCGGTCGTATCAAGCTGCGCCCAGCGGAGCATTTTATTATGATCTACTTTCATCATTTCTACAACAATACCACTAGAAACCTTCATGAGAATAACTACACAGACGTGTGTGAATAGCAGCTAACCACATCGTTAATAACTTTATTGACTAACTTTCACTTTTAACTTAACTACATTCTTATTTCACTTTCTATTTAAATCTATAAAGTCGCCATAACAACCATTATTGTAACATTACTTCCGGCGAACTGCATGAACCACAAAATTTGTACTTCACTGTTGGATTTCATATGTAATATTGTCCTGAAGACACCACGCTTGATGGCGAAACATGTCGACCAGAATAAACTCTTACCATGCGGTAATTGATGGGTATTGTCTTTATTATCATTTTATATCTAGGACTTGAAGGCCAAATACGGGAAAATAAACTAGGATTTTCTGGTTTAAGGACAATAACTTGATTTTAAGTCTATGGATCTCTAAAAAATTGAACCATAAGGTTCCATACCAAAAATGGAAGGTTGGAATTGATTTTGGGGGTTATGGCCCTAAATATTTAGGAAAAAGCTAATTGACTAATTTCAATGGGGTTTAATTCAAAGTCTTGAATTCATGGGGTTCTTAAACATGCTGAATCTAAACGTGTATTTAGATTTGGGATTTTGGGCCCCATTTTTAAATTGGTCCACATTGAGGTCCAAAGGGTCCAAAATTAAACTTTGTTTGATTTCATCAAAAATTAAATTATTGGGGTTCTTTGATATGCCGAATCTAACCGTGTATTTAAAATTTTAATTTTGGGGCTAGTTTTCAAATTGGTCCACGTTAGGTTCAGAGTGTCCAAAATTAAACTTATTTTGATTTTATCAAAAATTAAATTCTTGGGGTTCTTTGATATGCTTAATCTAAATGTGTATTTAGATTTTTGTCGAGCCTTCAACTTCTGTCGCAGAAAGCTCGACATAGATATAGTGATCCGGCTGCGGTGGCGGCAGCACTGTTAACTAAAAAGCTTAATAGTTCACAATGTAGAAGACCTGGATGCTTCATACTATGTATATAGATGCCTTATGCTATGAAGTTTCCATCTGTCATATGTCCATTGTCCTTGACCTCATTTTCATGGTTCAGTGACTACCTGAAAAAAAATTAAGAATTTTATCCCCTAGCCGTAGCGGCGTGGAATTAAATTTTACCCTTGTCCGTCTGTACGTCCGTCCGTACGTACGTCCCAAAATTGGTTTCCGTTCTTTAAATTTAGTTTGCCTCAACCAAATTTTATGAAACTTATACACAATGCTTATTACCACAAAACACAGTTCAAGTTTGAATTTTGGTGGCATCACTTTAACCGTTCTAGAGTTATGCCCCTTTATAAATGGAAAAATTGCAAAATTTTTTGTTTTCGTTCTCTAACTTAAGTTTGCCTCAACCAAATGTTATGTTACTTATACACAATGCTTATTACCACAAAACACAGATCAAGTTTGAATTTTGTTGGCGTCACTTTAACCGTTCTAGAGTTATGCCTCTTTATAAATGGAAAAATTGCAAAATTTTTATTATCTTCTCAATATCAAGTAATTTTTAAAATTGGAGTTATCTTCCTTTGTCCATGATTATAGTTGAATCAACTACAGTCAATGCTTTATACAATGCAATATTTAATTTTGACTTCCACTGATAAAACACAGATCAAGTTGAATTTGGTTAGTGTCACTTTAACCATTATTGAGTTATGCCCCTTGATAAATCGAAAGATTGCAAAATTTTTAGTTTCCATTCTGTAACTTAAGTTTGCCCCAACCAAACATTATGAAACCTTTACACAATATTCATAACCACAAAACTAAGATCAAGTACAAATTTTTTGTTTCCGTTTTCTAGCTTTAGTTTGCCTCAACCAAATGTTATGAAACTTATACACAATGCTTGTTACTACATAATACAGATGAAGTACGAAATTTGGTGGCGACACTTTTTCCATTCTTGAGTTATGTCCCTTTATAAACATATAAATTGCTGAATTTTTCGTTTCCGTTCTCTAACTTTAGTTTATCTCAACCAAATGTTTTAAAACTTATATTCAACCGTTTTAGAGTTATGCGTGTTTACAAATGGAAAAATTGCTGAATTTTTAGTTTCTATTCTCTACTTAAGTTAGCCTCAACCAAATGTTATGAGACTTACACACAATGCTTATTACCACAAAACTCAGATCAAGTTCAAATTTGGGTAGCATCACTTTTACCGTTCTTCAGTTATGTCCCTTTATAACTATATGATATGCAAGCGGGGGCATCATCTGTGTCCACATGTGGACACTATCCACATTTATTTTATAAATTTCTGATATAACATTGAGAAGTTATTGAACTTTATTTGTTTATAGTCTGACAACAGGTTTACTAAGTATTGCGCAACAGCACAGTGTATTGCACAATAGCAAGAAATCTTTAATTGAATAAAAATTCTATTCATATAACCAATTTCAAGTTCTTTGACTGCATTTATTCAGAAACCTATAATGTGTCAAATATTTAATTACAATCCAAATTCAGACCTGTATCGAGCTTGAATAGTGTGTCCATTTTTGCCCCAACTGTTCAGGGTTGGACCTCTGCAGGCATATCCAGCTGCGCTCAGCAAGCAGTTTATTTTTAAAGAGTTATGCCCCTTGGAAACATTAATTATATTAAAAATTGCCTCGTTACCACTCTCATGTGTACAACTAATGCCAGATTTTTATGAAACTTATATCACAGGTTTATATTAGTAATGTCTTGGATGAGTTCGAAAATCAGTGCTGATCAATTATTTTCATGCCCCCGCCGAAGCGGAGGGGCATTAAGTTTTACCCTTGTCTGTCTGTCTATCCGTACGTCCCAAAATTGGTTTCCGTTCTCTAACTTAAGTTTGCCTCAACCAAATGTTATCAAACTTATACACAATGCTAATTACCACAAAACACAGATCAAGTTTGAATTTTGATGGCATCACTTTAATCGTTCTAGAGTTATGCCCCTTTATAAATGGAAAAATTGCAAAATTTTTCATTTCTGTTCTCTAACTTAAGTTTTACTCAACCAAATGTAATGAAACTTATACACAATGCTTATTACCACAATACACAGATCAAGTTTGAATTTTGGTGGCGTCACATTTACTGTTCTAGAGTTATGCCCCTTTACAAATGGAAAAATTGCTAAATTTTTCATTTTTTTTCTAAAAATATCAATGATGTCATTGTTCAAGTAATTTTT